AAGTATATATATATATATATATATATATATATATAGTTATTTATATATATATACACGGATATTATTCGTTAATTCGTCTATTTCCTTTCCTTTGATTTAGTGCTTTTATTTAGCATTCCTTCGTCCATTGGACAAGGCTATTTTGTCCTTGTGAAGAATAAATATATATCTATACGTATACGTATAAGACAGAGTTAGTATATTATACTTCTATTTATTACGAAATCACTTAATAGCGGTGGAGCCGTCGGATAACACACCTATTCACATACAAAATCTGCGCCACCCGAGAAGTAATATCGAACTTCCTTTTTTTGACATTGCTTGTTGTTTATTTGCCATTTTTTTTGCCTTTGTTTTTCCTTTAGCAACTGATAAGTTTGCAATTCTACACGTGCGAATTCTTGAAATATTGATTGCACTTTTTTGCGCACCTTTCCAAAGCAGTATTTTTTATCTTTCACCCTACTACTCCTGTGGAGTAAGGAAGGCTAAGCACACAAAGTTGAGTGGTCCGGTGTAGGTGAGGTGTTTTTCACTTTCTTAATCGCCTTGTTTTCATCAACTAAACTATTTAAACTAAACGGATACGATAGTAATCTTTCGTTTCCGTTACTTTTTTACCTTTTTTTTCAAACACTTGCAAATATCAAGGGGGCATAAGTTATAAATAGTCTCTCAAAAAAGCACGTGGAGCTCAATTTCTTCCAGGAAGAGGGGCGCTTTGCATTGCAGGAGGGAAAATAGAACACTTTCCTTTATTCTTTTAAGCAGTTGCTAATTTATTCGCTTAATTAATTGCATCTGAAACCAAAAATAGCAGTTATTTTTTTATATCTTCCTTGCCTTTTTTAGGCTCTAGAGATTATACTCTGATATATTGAATTTATCTAATTTCCTATTCGTTTACATTGTATACTTTGACCAGATCATTGTGAGAATAACTTTTCCTTTTTCTAAAGTTTCATACTTCTCTTTGCTAGACTGAAGTAGTCTACTTCTGGTTTCCATTACATTTTCTGCTTGTTTTTTTTTCTCACATAACAAATATTTTGGAACATATAATCACAGTAGCTTCCCGGGCGTGTATTTAGGAATACATCTACCACATTAGGACGCTATAGCAACACGAATTGATATAGTAGTATTGTGTATAGATAAACCTCCTCCAAGGGTAAGTCAGTCTAACTAGTAGATTGATTTTTTTTTTACAAAGTGTTGCGCATTTTTCTTACTCCTTTAAGCGACTTTGCAGTGATAACGGGAATATCTTTCAACAGCTGACTGAGCATTCTCAACAAATAAAGGAGGAAAACTCCTTCCTGTCAAAGTAACGAAGACACGGACTAAAAAGAATTTTAACTCGTTCAAGTATTTATTTCTATAATCGATTATATAAATATACATATATATTATTCTATATTTATTCTCTCAACCCCATAAACATTACGAAGGACTACAAGCAAGGTAAGGAAATAATATAGCTTTACAGCAAACCTTTTTTGATCGTTTCCTTGATCATTTTCACTTCCTAGGATACCTTTTGGTGGGGTATATTATTTTACTTGCATTTTTTATTTTTCATTGGGCTTTATATAAGAAAAGAAAGAAGTAGTTGGTTCACTGTTTACCTTGTTGCTTCCTAATAAACCGGTTGGACGTTTTGGACACTAAGTTCATCAATAAATAGTAAAGAAGCTTAGGGCAGATACAAAACAATAAGTTTAACCAACGCAATAAAAGCAATCTGCCTACTCTCACTAAAACAATAAACAAAAAACAATCACTATCAGCATGCAACAACAAGCTTCTTCAATTTTGTACACTCAGTCATACCTTTCGCCGCAAGAGCAGCAGCGGCAGCGGGTGCCACTTATTAACGAGGTGAATACCATCAGCGAGAACGCTAGTATCAGCAAAAATATGCACCACCCACCACCCCTAACCGCCTTAACTTCGCCTGTTAAGGAGCCGGACCCTAAGAATCTTATTGTGAACTACATCCCAACCTGTGTTACGGACGACGAGTTGCGGAAACTTTTCGACCCATTCGGAACGCTGGTTTCTGCTCGTGTCATCGTCAATCGCACTACGAAACACCCAAAGGGCTACGGTTTCGTAAAATACACCACCGAGGAGGCTGCAAAGATGGCTATGGCGACCATGAATGGCTATGAGATCGAGAATAAGCGGTTACGGGTGATGCAGGCAAACGGTCCACAAAATCGTAGCTTATGCCAATATGCAGATACACCGACACACGCATCGTCCATCGGGTTTTCCTATTCTCAGCCATGCAACCTCGCAGCGTCCCCGAGCGCCGTGAACGGGCTGCCGACCTTTCTCACCACGCTGCCGGGGTCGCCGATGAACGCTGAAGGTGAGATCGCGCCCACACCGCAGTTCTTCCAGTCCACGATCCTGGGTCAGCCGTGTACAATGCTCGGCTCGGGCGGCACGATCTACCTCCCGGCGTCCACTAATATGCCCACCGTCGTGCTCGCTCCTGCGAACCCGCCGTCCCCGTCGCAGCCTTCACAGCCAGCCTACCCTGCGTACTTCCCCGGCTCAGGCTCGAGTGGGCTCTTCCTCGTCGAAGTCGACACCCCCACCTATGCGGCGGCGCCAAACAGCGCGGTGCCTCGGGCCCACGGGGCCCCGTTCTCGCCCGTCCCAGCCGCGGCGCCTGTGTTGGGCCCCGTGGCCCCCTCCGAGGGTTTCGAGCTTGGCGGGCCGTTCCTCGTGAAACCGACGTGCGCCGCCGCGGCCGGGCCCGGATTTTACCACAGCAGCACCAACCTTGGGAACGGCCTCAACTTCGTACCCCAGCAGGACGTGTGAGGGCGGGAGGAGGGGGGCCTCGTGTTTAGTTGTGACACCGCTCGAATAATTCGTTAGGGACAACGGAGAAGGGAGTTCGTTAGACGCTGCCCGGCTTGATGAGGATAGGCGTGTGACAAGTGGTTGATGTCGTAGCTGGCGTGCCGGGATTTACCTTTCTCCCTTCCCTTGGCTGTTATAATGAGGGAGGGGGGAGGGGGTAGCGACACGCCTTGATCCTGGGCTATGGGGAAAAGGTCAGGTTTGTTGCTTTGTTCTCCGTTCTTTGTTGGAGTTCTACTTCCCTCCTTCAGTAGAGGTTTGTCTCTGTTGCAGGTAAAGTTAGGCCTTGGGCAGGATGTGTATCAAAGGGAGGGCTCTGTAAGGCGAAGCCTTTACGGTGTTTTCAAGCCCTGGTAACCAACCCAGCTTTATTATTCATAGTAGACCAAATATAACGTTTAAAATTATACTCCTTTATTTCACTTTAGCCTCTTTTTTATGAGCTTCACTACATTCACTGTTTAGTTTTGAAGCGTGTGTCTCAGGTGGTTTTGAAGTAATCGAAGCCATTTTATTCGCAAAATTTGACATGTTGTCTCTAAGTTTTGCCTTTAATTTCGATCTCTTACTATTCTTTCGTTTTCATTTATTCTTAATTGAATGCATTCCTTGCAACTGCGGCAGTTTCATTTCTCGAGAAGAAAAACCCTTTTATAATAATGAGAGTCAAATAAAATTTTTTTCTCTCTCGTTATAGTAAAGAAGAAAATACACTTTTTGTCCCTTTATGCTTTATATGTTTACTTTATTTGCTACATTTTTTTCAATATGAAAATATGAAACTTAAGAAACGAGACTATATGAGTCTAATTCTATATTATTCCTTTTATAATAGCCGATATCGAAGTTTGATATTGATCACTCATTTGGTGTGTTCTTTCAAATATTGGTCACTATCAAAACTGGTAAGTAGAATCTTAATCACTTATCGTTTTTTTTTCATCTTAGTACTTCAGGTTTTATACTTAAGCCTATGAATTATTTTGGACTAATTCTATTTTGTTGATACGTTTTAGATGTCAATGTTGTTTCAATTTTTATTCACTTTCCTTTCCAACCTTTATGCTGCTTGGATTTCTTTTGCTCCTGGTATGATTTTATGCCTATGTTTTGCAATAGGTGCTGCTTTCTCGCCATAGACTGGACTTAAGATTGTGGTTTATACAGCAATCGGGAGGAAGGGTGAAGAAAGTTTGATGAAAGCCAAATGCTTTCTTTTTGTATCTTGTCTGTACGAACATTTTTATCTTTGATTGACTATCTTTTTGTTATATATATATATTTTGTCAGATTCAAGCGATTTCCTCTCCTTCTTGTCTAATTAAATAGACGTGCTTAACCGAAGGGATATACTAATCTAATTTGTGCCTTATTTCTTTTTTCCAAGTTTACTATTCTGCGTCATAATTCCTCCGTTTCTACCTTGTTTTATCGGTTTTGTTGGACTAAGTAGTGATACACTACCGTATGGTGTTCTATTTATCCTCATCTCGTTATATGTATATACATATATATGCATGTATTTATCAAGTAGGCAGTATGAAAATAATGAATTGTGTAGAGTAGGGGGATATATGAGAGTCTGTCCTACATAATTTCGACTTCAAAAAAAAGGCAGCTGAATTTTTCGGAAGGTTATTCTTGCTATCAGTAAATTTGTCTTTCAAGCAACGCAGAATCTGAATCTCCGATGTTGTAGAGAAAAAGGATGACTACTTCGTTACTTCATTATTTTTTTCGTAGAGATACGCTTAATCTCTTAATTTTTTGGTAAATTCTATTGTAACCGCAATTCGAAACTTTCTCCTTGGTAAAGAAATTAAGATAGTGCAAGTGTTCCTCTGTTTTTTACTTTCTATGTTTTGAAATTCATTACAAATGAATAAATTACTTTTGTTCACTGATTAACGGAAAAAACTAAACCCCTTGTGTTGGCATATAGATAGGAATTTTAATGAGTTCATCTACCTTTTCCTTACCACTCTTTTCTTCTTCTACTATTACATACCATACACATACTAACTCTTTTCATGTGCGTGTGTGTTACTTAGCATTAATTCTTGACACACGCGTAGTATATCAGCTATCAGAGTCTCTTCTTATTAAAGCATTCAAAGACGAAGGAGGCGGCATAAGATACACGCTACCAAAAAATTTGAAACTATTCATAGATTAAGCAAGTAAATATTACAATCCTTAGGTACACTCAAAGAAGAAAAGGGGAGGTGGTGATTACTACTCTAGGTATTGCTTCTTTATCGTGTAGCCTTTGTTCTTTTCTTTTTTTTTACACTTTATACTCCTCCACTGAAACCGAAACAGAGTGTGATAGATTAAAAGGTCGCTAACGTGATGAGTGAAGGAGGGCCAATATTCGACTTCTGTGAGGGCACTGGGACTGCATTAAAGGAATTCCCTTTCTACAATACAAATAAGCGTGGCTCCAATGCAAAAATTTTCGAGGCGTCCATCGAGCCTCTACATCGTCTAGCCTACGGTCGTGCAGGGCAAGCGGGTACGCGTCGCCACGCCCTCGAGGACTTTAAAGGATTTCCCGTCTCTATGCGTGAGGGGATTCATGCGAAGCTTACTAAGCTCACTAAAGACAAGCTTCGTGCGTTGATCAAGGCACTTGAGATGCCCGTAAAGGTCTCGCAGCCGCACGCAAGTGTCGTGGCAGGTGTAGAAAACTTTCTGATGCACCCAGTGCCCACAGGGAAGTCAATGGCAGGGGTGCGCCCTACGAAGGCATCAGCACAGGGTTCAACGCGCAGGGCGCCGAAAGAGGCCGTTTCAAAACCTGTTGCAAAGGAAGAGGAGGGGGTGTCAACCGAGCGCGAGACGCACTCAGATCCTCCAGCGAAGCGAGCAAGAACAGAGATTAGCGAAGGCCAAATTCCTAATAGACAAAAGTCGCCGTCTAGAAGCTCCCCTTCAACATTACCATCCGAGGATGCCGTGCGTGTTCAGGTATTTCGACGAGTGCTTGCTATGTCGCCAGCACAACGCTCCAATCTTGGCGTGAAGGCGCTACGCACCGAGCTCGAGGCTTTCTTCAAGATGCCGGCGGGGGAGCTGAAGCGATTCAAGGATGCCATTGCCCAGACGGCATCGGACTGCGTGAAGGCCCTCATGGAGGCGGAGGGCAGGACCGTGGAAAAGGCTGCTACTGCAGGAGATTTCCCTCATCCTAATTCACATGGGCAAGGGGGCGTCACGCATGCATCGCCAGCTGCAGGGGCTCCACCAGAAAAAGTCCATCCCCCCGCACTTTAATTCATCCTGATTCGAGAATGACCCCTCTTGCCGAGCTTCGTGAGCCTCGCTAGACTCATGAGGACAATCCTCCCGTAACCCTATGAGAAGTTTCTGGAGCCATCCCAACAGGTGTCTAGCCTGATTGTCCAGGAAAGATGATAGTTGGGGGGAAGGGCCACCACTGTTCGAGGGGGATTCTTTTCAATGTGAGGGGTCGATGCTAATGGGACGTACCCGTAATTACATCGAATAGCTTGCCATACACAATGCTGATAGAAGATATACGCTTTTACGGAAAACTTGCCCGTCCGTTAGTGTTTATAGGGTGAGTTGATCCACAGAATTATGAATAGCTGCCATTTATTTATTTCAAGCATTACGTTTTAAAGGAATCTACCGTTATGATAGTGTAGAGAAATATGATGCTAATCGATATTCAAACCAATAACATTATCTCTTTGCCAACTTAAAAAAACTTATAGAGCAATGCGCGATGCGTCTGTGAATGGTAACTACAGCTGTACTTAATCTTGGCAATTACAGCGTCTTAAATGACTCTTCCCTTTTTCTTTGCTGCAACCTCTGTTTTGCATATGTTTATTTAATTAAGCACACTGATGCAACTCTTCATTAAGACGGCCGGCGGCCAGACGGTGGCCGTACGCGTCTCCGCTAAGGAGACTGTGGCCTCGCTGAGGAGCGCGGCCTGCATTTCGCAGGGCCGCCTCTTCTTCGGTGGCGCTTGCCTGGAGGAGGGGGCGTCGCTCGCCTCTTTTGGCCTGATGTCGGGGTCCACTGTGCAGGAGGTCATCCCAGTGGAGGGTGGCAAGGGCAAGAAGAAGAAGAAGCGTATCTTCACGAAGCCCAAGAAGCCCAACCACAAGCACAAGCTCGAGAAGATGCGCGCACTCAAGTACTTTAAGGTCATCGAGAACGACGACGGTTCCTACACGGTGGAGCGGACCCGCCAGGAGTGCCCCCACCCCCAGTGCGGCGCCGGCGTCTTCATGGCGCAGCACAAGGATCGCAAGTACTGCGGGAAGTGCCATCTGACGTACAAGGAGGAGAGCAAGTAGAGGCGCTCTGTGCGTGAATCTTTACTACTTTCGCATCGTATTTCCTTCCTTCCATGACGAGTTCATCTACAGTTTGCATTCGCTGTGTTGCAAAGCATTTGTTTCACTCTGAGTTGCTTTTATTTATACTAAAAAAATAATTTTGAACTGACAGATTTAATGCTACTTTCAAAATCAAGCAGTCATGTATAGGCATATGCGCGATTCTCGATTTTTTGTCCCAATGGTTTCCCTTTCTGTGCATATATGTATTTCACTTTCCATATGTAGCGCTACATTACCTCATTCTTTAGTTTCGCTGGCTTCAGGGGGTGGAGTATTGCTTTGTAAAGAGGCATCTCCTTGTATTTAAGAGCGTCTCAGTCCTAAGGCAAACCTATCCAGTGAGTAGGATGGCGCGATGTCCGTTGACCCACTTTTGATGAATACCGTACTTCGGGGCTGTGGCTGCGTGGACGCTTCTCTAGACACCGTGGTGCGATGCTCGCCCTTTGCGATCTACGCCATTGCGCAGCAGGCGTATTACCTCTTCTACGTCGTGGCGACCGCCCGGGCGATGCTGTCATCCCCGTCGTCGCCCTACACCAGCATCGTAAGGCTCACGGCGGAGCGGAAACACGGCGTGGTGGCCTCCTCAAGCTCGGACGGCTGCTTTCTCGCCGAGGGCGGGCTTGAGGGGCTAGGCGGGCTGGCGCAGCGCGTGGCCATCCTGGGCGCGGGGGCCGTCGCGGAGGCGTACGTCCGGCTGCTCCTCGGCGAAGCCCCGCCGTTGGTGCACCCCACCAGGGTGACCGTCATCTCCGCACAGCGACCGACAACAAACCAACTCCGTAACGCATTCGCGACGGGCATGAGATGGAGCTCGCGGGCGCAGGCCCGGCCGGTGCTCGCTTCGTGCGACTTTCTTATCCTCGCGTGCGGGACGGTAGAGGAGCTGCTGGAGCTTCTCAAGGAAAAGGACGCCGAGGTTGTGGCGCCGGAGTCGCTAAAACACGGCCCCGCCTTGCTAAAGCCAACGACGGTTGTCTTTCTAGCGGTCACTGGGGCACCGCGAACGAAGGTGGCTCAGCTCCTGCAGATCGACGAGTCGCTCGTTGTGTGCGCGGATGAAACAACTCCACATCGTGCACCGGGTATCGCGCTCGACTATCATTCCAAGGCCGAGGAGTGTTCTGCTCAGCTCATCAAGCGCATGTCCTACTCCCTCTCGTTCTTAGGAGATGCGGCAAGGCAGGCTGAGGAGCTCCGCAAGAAATCCAGTCTCACAGAGAGCGGTGACACCTTTTCCTTTCAACCCACACAGTGGGGCTTTACGACCGCGAATACTGCCTCGATGTTGTTGACGCTATCGCAGCAAGCCGTTCCTCATAAAAACTTCTTTGCTCAAGTTTGGCATGCAACCCTGACGTGGGTGGGGAGACTGATGGAGCGCAGCAAACCATTCCACGACGAGCACGTAACGAGTTCCGATACGCACCCGTACGTCAGCCGGAAGGAAACTAGAGGCAGCGCTGAGAACAAGCTTTTGGGTAGTGCGAATTCTTCCATACAGGACCCGATTGGATTTGAAGGGTCGATGCTCTGTGCTGTCTTGTCGGTTATTCCACCTTCAAGCTACACCGCCGTCGCGTCTGCTGTTTCGCGTTTGTATCAACGTAACGTTCATCCTTCGGAGCCCAACATTATCCGGCGATCACAGCAGGGCATCGACCGCGCCAGTGCGCTGCGGTTTTGCGACTCGCTGGGTGTCTTACCCTTGGCATATAACAGCGAGATGGAGTTGGGCAATGATATGCGGCAGCATTATACTGGGGTGCTAAAGAAGAATGCGTGTAGGCTCCAAACATCTTGATGAAGAAGGAAAAACGGAATAAGATGATGGTACTCGGGAAATGTAGAAGAAGCAAGTTTATTTTACACGCCCAAACATTCAAACAAAAGCCTGCGGGGTGATGCCGACAGGCTTTTCCGGAGATATGGGAGCTCACGGATTTAGAGAAGACCAAACAATGATATGTATATAAATATATATACATTTTTTTTTTGGAAGCAGATTGCATTCACATGTTCGTATATTTGGCCGGACAAATAGCTTATTTGCGTGTATATGCGTAAAGAGCGTTTCCCGAACACACCATATCCCTCTCTACCCATCATTAAGTAAAAAACATGAAAGGTCCAGTATTTCTTTCTCTATGTTTCTTTTCCTTTTTTGAATGGAGACGCGTGTTTAAGCGACGTCGTTTGATCGTTATTTTTAATAACATTACACACAAAGTACACGCTATCATCACACGACGAGTTAAATTAACACGTGTAAGAAAAATAGTTTTACTGACTACAGGAAAACAGAATAAGGATGACCTCACTGGAGAGGTGTGCTGAAGCGCTGCTACAACAGAAGGCGGTGCAGTCGAGCAGTTATGATCACTTGGAAGGGCAAATCGCTGCCATGGAACGTGAGAAGCGATCATTCGGCATGGACTTGAAACTTCTTATCGCTGATGTTGAACGGCGCCGAAAGCACCTCAGGGAAATTCATGAAAGCAACTTGTCCCTTGAGGAGCAGCTGGATAAGGACAGTCTCCACACACAAGCACTACTCCTGCAGCTTTCGAAGAACAAAAAGAAGCAGGCTTCCATACTGGAGCGAATGGCGGAGATCCGCGAAGCGTGGGAGGGGCAGCCTACCGAAATGCTGCGGGTCATTCAATCCCTCCAAGAGCGTAAGAAATTTATGAAGGAGGTTTCTACCATGAACACGTTACTTCACGATGCAGCGCAGACCTTTGCGTGTATCCAACGCATCACTTCCGGCCGCGCAGCGCTCCACGCCCGACTTCAGCTCCATTTCAACGAATTGCAAATCAGTACATCGCTGCTCGCAGAACGCAGTTCCGCTGCAGAGGCAGAGTTGCAAGACGCCACCAGTCAGCTACAATCGGTTACCTCCGAAAAAGGCCTCACAAACAACCGCTACATGACCTCAAAGCACAGCCGCCTTATGGAAGAATGGCGTGTGGAGCAGAAGGAGATTTGCTTGTCCTGCCTGCAGGATCATGTGGAGCTCTACCGTTCAGCGGCCCTTGTCGTTGTGGACGAGATTGATCAGCAGGAGAAGCAGCTCGCTACAAAGCGAAACCATCATCAGAGCCTCTTGGAGGCCCTTGAGGTGCTAACCAAACAGGCCGACGAGATCGACCTTCGAATCACACAGAGCCGACTTGAGAGCGAAAAACAGGCTGATCTGCTCCGCGTACAGATTGGTGCCCTTCAGACACGCACTGAGGCTGCCCAGCGCGCTGCGAACGTTCATCTTGAACGCATGGGCGCCGGGGCTCAGGCAGCTTGGCACCACTGCAAGCAGGTCGACGGTACGGCATATCTTCTATCGTTTCTGCAGTGGATTCGGCACATGGAGTGCGTGTCTGATCAAGCGCGGCGCGAGCAGTCCGCGGCAAGAGAAGCCATCTTGCACGAGTTGCGCGTGCAACACGACCAGCGCCTCGCCGCGAAGCGGGCTTATGACAAATTCAAGGAGCGACTCCTCGAGTCCGTACGGGCTCTGGAGGCAGAGGAGTCTTTAACCCGCAAAGACCTGCTGGTGGACGAGGCGGCTGCGTTCACCGCGTTGCGGTGCACGGCGGCGGAGCGCTGGGGGGCCCTCCTGTCGAGGCGGTCCTCCGTTAAGCCCAAACCCACCCGTGCCAAGCCCCCCCCTCCGCACGCCGTCCATCCCTCCCTCACGCCGTTGCACAAACCCCGTCTCCCTGGCCGGTCGCCTGCCGAGGTCGGCCGAAAACGGGGCCGCGCGACCGCCCCGGCGTTTCCCACCGCCCCCATCCCTATCCCTGTCGCGGACACCCCTTTGCCGCGGCGGACGTACCCCTTTTGCTCCGGTGCCCCTCGCCGCGGCGCCCTCCGCTCCCCTGCGGCGCGGCCGCGCCTCCTCCCTTCCCGTCGGACCCCCTCCCCTCGTCTGAGCAGCGGCGGGACCTCCCGTGAGGCTGAGGTGGGCTCCCCCCGGCAACGGCGCGGCGCCCTCTCCTCTGCATCCTCGCCAGGAGGTGCCTCGCCACCGCCGCGGCGGCCAGGGGGAGGGAGTCTCTTCGGGGAGGCCCCTCTCCGTCGGTATCTTTGGCGGGGGGAGGGGAGGGGGGAGCCCCGACGGGACCCCCCCCGCGCGTTGTGGATCGCCCGCCGTGCGCCGCCCTCGCTGGACGACGCCGACGACATTTTCGCGGACGTCTTCTCCTAAGCGGGACGGGAAGGGAGGGGAAGGGGGGCGGGGTGGGGGGCCGTGGTGGGACACGGTGTGGGCGTGTCTGTGACATGGACTGCGCTTGCCAAGGGTCGTCCCCCGAGAAACAAACAATCTGTGGTGGAAAGCGTCGGTGCTTTTTTATTTTTTGGATGGGGTCATCATCCCATGCTTTATTGAGTTCATGAGCTTTGGTTTTACTTCTTTTCTTGTTAACTTTTTTCCTGCTACCACATTTAAGCATTTTTTTTCTTTCAGCCGTGACTCTACTTGGTTATTTACTATTCGGTTCGCATTAGGCCAACAGGCAGACCAAGGCGCCTCAGTGTAGGTTTTGTTATCGCTTTTCTCTGGGGACCATTCACCCGTCTCTCCCTGTTAGACTGCAGTACTTACGATAAAAAATTATAATTTATCTATACGTTTCATCTTCACTAATTATGTAGCAATGCACCCTCTGTTATGCCATATTAGTGACTCTCACCTTCTTCAGGATCACTGCTAATGAATATTATGTTTCTATGAACTCATCATCTCTTTTGTCTCTCATTCTCCTTATGTTGTTCAGTGATTAGTAGATAAAAGCATTGTCTCCCACCACTTGTGGTCTAGAGCCTCATATTCATTGTTTCCTTTTTTTTTTAGGTTTAGATTCACTTTTTCTTTGCTGGTTTAACTTTTTCCTTTCCCCTGATAATTAATCTGACAACGCAGTCGGTAGTTTATTTAACTTCTACATAACAGAGTAGCCCTGATAGGTCAGCAGGCAATAATTTCAGGCATATTCCGCGCGTGGATTATTGTTACTTTACTCTGCTCATTTTCTAAATCTTCTTAATTTTTTTCTATAGCTCGATCGACACTTTACGTTGATTTCCATAAATAAGCGTAGCATTTTTTTTTTCTTTATATTGCCTTTTGTGTCGTTTTTTTTGAATTTGTTGGTATTTTCAGAGAGTTTTCTGTGTGAATAATATTTTCGCGGATCCCTTTTTTTTTCTTTTTTTTCACATCTATTATTTTTTATATTAGAGTTTTTTTATTGATCCGTTTTATTTTATTTCTAACTAATCTCCTATTCAAGGTCTTTATAGTATTGTTTTCAAGACTTTCAAAAGGAATTAATCATCGTCTTTTTTTTTTTTGTTAAACGCTGAGCTAGGAAGTTTTTTTCTTTGAAAGTAGGGTTCCAAGTTATTACTATCGTGCATATATGCACTAATGATATAGAATACACAAAGAATAAAAAAGGCTAAAATTGCTTGGAGTATTTGGAAAATATAAATTTGCATTTGTTCATTAATCAATTTTCTATTTGTTTGGGTAAAATTTCCATTGACTCTTTGATATTATCAATTGGAAAATATTCTCTCGTAAATTCGATATTATACCATTGACGGTCATAAGGTATATTTCGGAAGCACGACTTGTCTGCGAATAAAAGCTAATCCTTAATAACAGCAGTGATTGCGGGTTATAATAAGGCTTGCCATCATAGGTCTGAGGGCATAATAATTATAGATACTATTGGTTTAAGGAGGGAGGAAAATTTTTTTCAAATTTATTTTACCTACTTACTGTTTCCCCGAACACGGCCTGGGTGTAGGGGAAGCTTAACGTAATTCGTTGTAAGTAGGTAACCAAAAGAGAAAACGTGTGTAGTGGAGGATTCAATTTAGTAGGATACAATCTCTTTCAACTTCTGAAGAGGGTAGCGAAAGGTCTTAATTGTTTTTCTGAGCAAAAAAATCGTCAACAAAACAATATACAAAAAACAAACTAGTGTAAAAAGTATCCACTAGTATCAAAAAAATAGACGTGGAGGTGACGTTAGGTCGGTGAATTAGCATAAAGTTCATTAAGATCGAACGAGAGGCAGGTTTTTCCAATTATTTTTTTGTGCATATTTTCTGAATTGCAATTTGTGTGAAGAGACCACACAAAAGAAATGTTGATGTCTGAACATTATCTTCCTAACACCTTAGTTCCAACATCCAATGTGGTAGAGCGGATTAGCGTGGGCCCACCGCTTCCAGACCCTTTGCCTGCAAACCGCAAGATCGTTTCCCATCCGCCCTCACCAACGGGTGGAATCTTTCAGAATAAGGCTCGGGCGCCCATCATGACGCCCTATCCGAATGTGGCGGGTGATGCTGAGCAAAAACCTCGTGTGCTCAAGGAACCTAGCGAAGAAGGTCTCTATACCAAATTCCATGCGAAATCCAGAGGCCGAGTAGCCGTCCATGGGGAAGTCTCTAATGCGGAAGACAGCAGCAGAAGTACCCCGCTAGCTCTTCTACCGAACACGCCCAAGATCGTCATGTTTAGTACAAATTTCAACCAACCCCGCGAGGCCAATAAGTCTAGTAAACACCTCACACTGCAGGGAGCCTCTGGTGAAACCCTTGACGAACCACGAAGTAACCGTCGAAATCGTCGTAAAAAGCATATACATAACCGAAGTGACTCTGCCAATAATCAAAATAGTGAGATGTCAGCTCTCATTCCATCCTGTTTGAGCTCTTCACTCGGTTTGGACCCTGCCAGCCTTGCGGACAAGTCAAGCCCGAAAGCTATTGGCATCACTAGCTCTGAGAATGGCCCCGATTGTCATCCTCTCTGGCCAACGCTCTACGTGAATGGGGGCATTGATAACATCGGGCTGCCGCAGGCGTTGCAAGTATCTCGCTGTCCTAATTTGTACTCCCCGGGATGCACGAATAATAGCAGTCGTCCCTGCCAAAATATTGCTTCGTACAACTCACCAACCAAATCATGTGGTGTGTGCGCCATCACCCCCCTTAGCGATATCAATTGTGCCACGAACAACAAATTTTCCTCCCACGAAACCAACAGTCAGCTGCTTACGAGCTTTTCAACATCCACTGCCGATTACACGAGTGGGTTCAATAGTGCCCCTCAGGAGGAGTTTGGCAGGAGCTGCTCCTCTGCTCATATTCAGGGATCTTTTCAAACGAAGCTAGGGGATGATGCGTGCGGCGTTGTGTTAGCCAATCCCACCAAGGATACCCCTACAGATAGGGGGCTTGGTCTGCGTGTTCGATTGAACCACAAGGCTCTCATTGGTAAAGGTAGCTACGGAATGGTTTTTCAGGCGATGGTTCTCGACACCAACAGTGTTATCGCGGTGAAGGAAATCCCGATCGGCAACTCACTGAGGTCTTCACACCGCTCTCTTGAGAGCGATAGTAACTGCCGCCACAGCTGTGGACCTGCCGCTGAAGGTGAGCTTGAGAGAGAGGTAGTCAGGGCATCCTCCATGCCATTGAATGTTAGGAAGTTGCCTAACTCCTCGCTGAACAGCAACAACGTTGATTTCCATGGCAAATTGAAGTCTGTGTGTAAGGAGTTGTCACTGATGCGGCAACTGGATCACCCTAACATTGTTAAGTATCTTGGCGAAGAAATCGATGACTCTTGTATTCGTATCTACATGGAATACGTCTCGGCTGGGAGCATTAGCTCCCTTCTACGCACCTTCGGTTCTTTTCAGGAGCGACAGGTGGTGAACTTTACTCGACAGATTCTCCGGGGCGTCGCCTACCTGCACTCCAAGGGGATCGCCCACCATGACCTGAAGGGAGACAACCTACTCGTGGAGCCAAGCGGTACGCTTAAGTTGGCGGACTTCGGTACCGCACAGGAGATTCACGCAAAGAAACGCGGCAGAAAAATCGCCGGCACGGCGTACTTCATCGCACCTGAGGTTGTTACTCAGGGCGCCTCGAGCTTCGAGTCTGACATCTGGTCCGTGGGTTGCTGCGTGATTGAGATGCTGACGGGCGTGGCGCCGCTATCCCATCTTGCCACAAAGTACTCCGTGATGATGATGCTTGCCGAGTCCAGCGATGATCTCTTCAAGCACTACATTCCGAAGGATCATAATTGGTCGCTTGATGTGGTTGATTTTCTCATGCAGTGCCTGCAATGGGATCCGGCCAAGCGACCGTCGGCGGAGCAACTTCTTAATCACCCTTGGCTGATGCAAGCACCAGCAGACGTCAACCCCCCTGACACCTGCGCTACGGATGGATCGCATATCCTGACGCTAATGTGCAAGCCCACGTCCATCCCTTCGCCAAGCGGCATGCCGGACCAATACATGGATGCCAAAGCGGGTGGCATCCCTAGTACGGTTTCTCCCGTCATGCTTAGCATTGATCCTGGCAAGAAGTCTACCTCTCACCAAAGGGATGGCAGCAGGAGGCCGTACCGAGATAAAACAAAACATCAGAAAGATCTCCCATATCAGACAATGATCTCTCTGGCAGATTGTACGCCGTCGGAAACGAGCCAAATCATCACCAAAGTCAATCCACCTTCCCTATCAGCGTCCGCTACCTCGGATCCTCGGATCCCGAGTTGCTCAAGTCAACCCATTCTACGGCAGACAAATTGCGACGACAAGCCACCCAGCAGGCTATGCCACACACAAGCGAAGATTGCCGTCAAGACAGATGATTCGACGAGCAGGGTAGCCCCGTCCCCGATGCGATCGTTCCTGCCAACTATTAACAGCGCCGTCCCTTCTACCCCATCCTCTATGATGTTCAAGAAGCAGCCGGACACCCCTCCAGTTATTCTTGACCACACCGCGAAGCCTCGCAGGTGTGCGGATAAGGAGATGGGTGTTGTACCGAGCGATATCCCCATCGAGTCCCTGTTGGGCGTGAAGAAGTGATTGGCGTGAACGTGAGCTTGTTGCTTCAGGCAACTTTGTGGCCCTCCAAAGCAGTCATCGCGTGTCGTGCACATTTTATTCACCACGATCATCACACGGCATACAAACCGGCTTCTGAGTGCTATGCGAATGGCTGTTTTGTTTCCGACATCGCTCGTTGGAGGAGGAGATATGGGGTAAAAAATTATTTGGTTACGGTTAGAGTGGCTATATTTTTCTTTCTTTCTCTCTCTCTATATAGATATGCATGACCCTCGCATGTTGTGTATGGAGGGTGAGGTTCTGTAGAACTACATAGTGACAAAAATGATATAGAAGTCTGGACACAGCAAAGCACATAAGAAAGGTAGGCCTCTACAAAAAAATGGTATACACGAACGTGTTGGATGGCGTGCTATACATTGAATTTTTTTTTTTTACCATTTCCGTTCATTGTTGGATTTATGGATTTCTTTTTCATCGTTCGTTTATTTTAAGCATCTTTATGCATTTAAATGTTTAGGCATTTATTTTTGTTCGTCAGATTCCGCATTGTGTTTTTTCTCTTACGTCCTTGGAGTTTTTTGTGCCGATTTGTTGTATTATTATCAATATTTCTCTTATTATTTAATGAATTAAATGCAAAACGATTCAACCTCAACGGGTATTGTGGAACAGTTTCGTAGCACCGAAGGGTTTCTTGTAAAAAAACGTTAGTTTTTGATTTTTTAAAAATAAATTTGATATGTTGACTGCCACTTTCAGGCTAGTCGTTTCCATCTATTATCTCTTACACAGATATATATACCTTTTCCTCATTTATCTTTTTTTTTTTAAATCATAGGTATATGACAGAAACACAATAGCAAGAATTATTAAGGAAACATTAATTCGATATACTGCTTCATATTTCTTCAAATCAATGTATAATCCTTTGCAGCCAAATATTTATAAGACTGCCAAAATCAAGCATGCCCATCAGCGGCGCGATACCAAAGCCAAGGTAGAAAGTCCGCTCACACTAGACCCAGTCAAGCGCACCAACTTCCTCTCAGATGCCCTTTTGAGCGCCTCGACGTCGGCTGGCCTGCTTCGCCAGCCGACGTCGATAGATGGGGTGGGGGGTGCCCCGCTCCCTACGGCGAGTGACGCGCCGCCTTCCCTCCCCCTCCCCCTCGCCCCGCTCAACGCCTCTGCGGAGGAGCTCCACCGCCTGCGGATCTCCCGCAGCGCGGCGATGGGGGTCCGCCGCGCGGTCGAACTCGAGCGGGAGGAGCTCGAGGTGGAGCACCGACGGCAGCGGCTGGAGGGGC